CCCACATCCACACCCACACCCACACCCACACCCACACCCACACCTACACCCACACCCACCACACCCACACCCACACCCACACCCACACCCACACCCACACACCCACATCCACACCCACACCCACACCCACACCCACACCGACATCCACACCCCACACCCACACCCTACTTAAAAAAAAAAGCAGCAATGTTATATTCAAGCTTCATTATTCTTGTTCCATAAAATCATTCATTCAAAGTTTCTGTCTTTCCAACCAGGTTTAAAGTTTTCGTCGATTGGAACTATTCCAGCTGGATACAGGTTTGGATCGTAATCTGTTCTATCAATCATACCACGAGTGCAATAGTACTTAACAAGAGCACGACGAACCACCATCCAAGCACGCCGCTGATCTGGTGGAGGGATTGTTTCATTGCATGCATTTCCTTCAGTTGACTGTCTTTTCAAATCATTATACCAGGCAGGATACCTTTCACTGTAATATTTAGCGTTTGGGTGAACAAGAGTGTAATCTTCGTCCTCATTTAAATCATCTCGTTTTCCATCTATTTTAGATCTAGATGTCTGAGGATCTTTGGGTACCCACATTCCTCCATTTGTCCAGCGCTGATAGCATAATTCAAGTGTCGGAGTTTTTGATTTATGATACCTACGACCAAAAAACGCTTGAGCTATGTGATGCGTACTTTCATGAGTTACTATGGTAACAGTTTCAGGAGTTTTACAAATACAATTATCTGGTGGGCATTGGCACGGTTCACGCCATCCTTCGACGGTTTCGGTTTCATGTGGCTCTGGTTTGCTGCACTTGGCACCACATCCTGGACAACGACTTTGACAACCTAGACGTTGCGCAATACTTTTTTTGCAACTTTCATATGCTACTTGTTTCATACTTTTTGTCAAGGTTTCAACAGATATGCCTACTGTTTTGTGATAATCGCGAATATTGTTAAAGCCTTTTTTAAATAGTTCTTGATCTATTATTTGAGCGCGCATAACATTGTGCAATGAAAACATTTGATATATCTGGACTTCATTCGATTTTGATAGTTTCAAAACTGGAAACGTCAATATGGCTTCACGAATACTATCTCGTGCAATTATGGTATCATCATAATGATTTTGATGAACAACTTCGTTTGCTTTCTCAAGAGTCTGCGATATTAATATTTCGAAATTGTTCGTATGCTTATGTGTTACAGCGTATAGTGTTTTTCTTATATCAGTCAAACTTAATTCAACAAAATAGCGATTTATATCAAAGACATACTTCAGAATGTTTTCTGCATTGGCTTCATTTATACTTTCCTGATAGGCTTGGTTTTGTATATTTTCGTGGTTGATGATATGACTTTTCAGTATATCTATTTCCATCTCGTTTACAATACGTCGCTGTAATAACTGGCCGATTTCACTCAAAATCTGTTTTCCGACTGCTTCAGCTAGTGCCTTTCCTTGTTCAAATGAATCTTTCATAGATGTACATTGTTGTAACAGGTTCTTTTTGCATTCCTCCATTTCTTTGGATGAGTGCTCCAAATTCATCCGATAATGTGCTTTCTCAACATGGGCTGACAGTTTGATCAAGATCTTCAGACTAATAGCTGCCAAATCCTGGCATAGGTTGGGTATCTGTAAAATTTTGGAATTATCTGTTATAATATTCGAATTCATTGCATTCTCAACATATTGCAAAAGACGTTGAACACTCTCTGGGTCTGACGAAGAAAGATTTGTATTTTGGATCATTGGTAAAATCTCATTTTCTAGTTTCGGTAAAATATGATTCCATATTTCGACGAATATTCTCTGGTTTTTTGATCCATTTTTTGAAAACCATTCTAGTTTGACCTTCAGTTCGGTCCACACGGCATCGGTCTGTTTAGGAGTACGCAAGCTAAATACTGTCTTCATATATTGCCATAGGTCTGAACTGACTTCTTCTGGCTGCAAGAGGCGATTTGTCCAACAGGTATGAAACTTATTCAAGCGAAAATCGAGTTGAGAAGGGCACATTTGAACCAATAAGTTGAAAATACTGGTTTTTGATGTCGTGGTTCTCATCGTATCCAACGCAGCATTAAAAAATCTACAAATTTTATCGGCAATTAAATCTTCACTTTCATACATTGCTTTTAGATCATCTTGATGTTGCTTTGAAATATGGTTAAACTCATTTTCGAGAACAACCTTAAACGAATCTAATTCTATGGTTTTATTTTGATCAAACACCTGTTGTGCAGCATTGGTCAGCTTTTTTTGTACATCGTCGATTCTAGCTTTTCTTGTAATCATATGTAAACGTTCATAAAATCTTTCTCTTAGATGATGTTGCACACATCGTATCGATGGCTCCATACGTTTTCCGACTTTCTTTTTAATTTCAGGAAGATAACAGCTTCTGTCTGCTTTTTCACTAAATTCGTCTGATGCATGATCAACAGTACGTGTGATAATTTCTCCAAGCTGATTATCGAACGATTTACTGATGTTATCTCGATCTGTATCGACGTTTGTTTGTATACAAGCAAGCAACATTTGATTGATTAGCAAATCGCCATCTTTATACACTGCATCTATGCATGTTTTGATTATATCCTTTCCAATAGCTTCAAGCTCATTCATCATAGATAATTCGTAAAGGGTTTTACATTCTAATAGTTTTGGTCCCAGATCGTCAATTGCTTTCCACTTGCTAGAGATTGTTTTGTATAAGTGTGCCATATCAGTATAGGCTGGATCCGGTGTTTGATAGGAATCGATCGTTGTCACTTGTATATTAGGTGGTAAATGACAGGATTGACGTGAAGTTGCAGTAATATTCGCAAAAATTGCACTACGAAGTTTTACAATTTCTTCTGAGAACATTTGATTTCTACAGCATTGGTTGACATTAGTCACTGTGCTCGCACTATTGGAAAATGCGTTTGGAAGAAGAAAAACATTTCCATGTATAATATCAAGTTCATCATCAATTGGTATTAGAAGAAATTTTGTCTCATTTTGTAGTTGTTGTTTCAGTTCGGTGAGTTGTCGAATAAATGTTAAATTTTCTTTGAGATTGACTTGATCTCTCAGAACAAATAATAGTTTGGGTTTAATGGGACCTTGAATCCGCAGTTTAGCATAGAAGCTCATCCCAATCAGATCTTTTAAATTAGTACTAAACTCTCCTTTGTGATTGATAAGTACGACGTGCGAAGACAGTACCGCCATCGTGACCATTTGATTATCAAAGACGGAACCTGACTGTTCAAGTGAAAGAAGACCTTCCGTATCAAAAATAACTACGGTTTCAGAGTGCCAGGTGATAACGCTCATATACATTCCAAGGGTGCACCTCCCAGGGCTGACACGGAAGTTACATCCAAAAGTCGCATTCATCAGTGAGGATTTGGCAGAAGATTGCTCTCCAATAACAGTTAAAACTAACGGCGGTAACGAATTTGTTATTTGAAAACATTTCAAACACTCTTCAATGAGTATGCTGTGGCATTGAAGTGGACGTCCTCGAAGCATATGAATAGCAAAACCTTTCAGCATTAGATTTGCCAATGATTTTGCCAAAACAGTCACGAAATTTCGTTCACCAGAACAAGTGTCAAATAGTTGTGGTGAGAAATCATACAGTGCCAATATCTCATCACAATACAGACCAATGGTCAAGTCAATATTCATCAATTTCTTATCTATTTCAGTTATAATACCGCGGTATTTATTACATTCAGACTGAGCATCTCTTAATTCTTGTCGTAGTTTTTGTATCTTTTCGTTTTTCAGACGATCGGTAGGCTCTAAATGAGAATCTTGTAGGTTTTGTTGTGATTTTTCTATCTTTTTCAATGAAGGATTCCATTCAGGTGATAAAAGTTTTTCGATACGCTTAAGATCTGATTCAAATTTCATAGCTTCGTTTTTTACAGTTATGGACTGATTAAGTAATTCTGATTCGAATTTTGATCTCCATTTTTCTAAATATTTTTCTGTAATGAGCAGTTCAACATACGGCCGCTCTGTCAATAACTGGATAAAAAATTTTGTATGGTTATTTATTTTTTTAACACTTTCTCGTTGACTATTATAAGCTTGTTTTTTTGTAATGAGCTCTGATGAGGGATCGTCCCAGTTTTCCATCAGCTCTTTGTCGCATTGTCTTATCAATGAATCCAAGAAGCTAACAGGAGTTGTTATAAGCAAGTTTTCCGTTTTATCGTTCAAATGATCAAACAGGTTTTTCAGTTGATTTTCAACTTCAAAATAACATTTCGCTGGTGGAAAAACATTTCCAGTAGTCTTGACTGTAAGATAGTATGACTGAATGGCGAAAACTGACCGACAGAATGTATCTGGGCTTTCTTCTATTATCAGTTTTTTAGACCATTGGCTGAACGACGTCAACAGACGTTGCGAACGTTTTAGGTCATTATACTTTTTGTTACCATGCGACACGGACCAAAGAGATACTGTCGGAGCTGTGATCCAATTGATATTTTTCCGCTCCTGGTATTGTGATTGAAAATTTTCTATTGCTAGTGACGGATAAAGATGTTTTTCGTCATACTTTGGATCAAAGATGATCACTAAAGTGGATTTTCCTTGCATAAGTTTTGAAGAATCCAACATGGAGCTCAAAAATGTACTATTTACGTCTTCTTGCGTAACATATAAAATCTGGAGTGTACAATACTGTTGAATGGCTGTAATTATGTGGTGGTTAAATTTATTGACAGTTCCATGTACGTCGAAGATGACATAAGCATCATTTTTCTGTTTTGTCTCATCTGATGGAAATAGAACGTCAATACAGCCAGCTTGGCGACTACACGGACCATCGGTATTCAGTGACTCAGCACGTTTATCAGGAAATATAAATGAAAGCATACTCGTTTTGCCTAGTCCTTTTGCCGACTCACTTCCCACTTGCAATATATACTTCGCTGTTGTTAAACACATTGTTTCAGAAAGTAAATTGAAATTGATTTTGAATTCAACACTGTTATGATCTTCACTCCATGAGTAGTACGCAAATGGCAAAGGAAGATCATTCTTTTTAATAAAATTCCCAAAATATCTTTGACTTTCATATGACATTGATTCAATTGTTGTAGTCAAAAGAACCGATTTTGTTATCGTGCTTATTATTTCCACAAAAGTATTGACAATGGTCTGATCTTCACATGGAAAACCTTTGACGTCCAGTTCCGTACAGGATGGAAATGTATAGCTGATATCCAAAAGCCCATGGTTTCGTTTTAAACTATCAACTACAAAAGCTTTCAGAGTATGTTCTTTTATCAGCTCTTCTACCAGTGTTTCAGGATTGACTGTCTTGTCAAGCACTGTAGTAAATGTTCGATCTAGTATAGCTGATTCTCCATCACTTTTCCACGTTTTTCCTGACACTAGAAGATTCGACCATTTTCGTAATAATTCCGTATCTTCTTGGTCTAAGCAATTTGCGTCAATTTGTACTGCATTGATCATATTCTCATCGCGCAACAAATACATAATATCAATTTGATCCATATTTTCAGTGAAACTATTTGTAGATGGGCAAGTAGATTTTCTTTGATTTCGTGCTACAACAGAAAATACCTGTAATAGAATGGAGTCTGACTTAATTAGACTTACGAGGGAACATTTCCAAGTGTCAAATCGCTTTTGAGTCGAGAGTATGAGCATAAGGTAGACCCCAGTGAGATATGAAAAACCCTAAAAGGATAAGTGCCCTTAGGCCTTCTGTCCAGAGTTATAGGCATTTTACTGAAATTTTAGCCTCCGGCATGGTAAATACCAATAAATCGAATGGCAGTATTTTGACCTGAGATTTTGCCCACAGATAGGTCTAGTTGTGAGTAGGATACTCTGAAAATTTCAGCTCAAAAGAATGT